TTCAAACATAACTCAACCCCTCCTCCGATTACAGTTTGTCAACGCTTGCATCTTACCTATTCTTTCGTCATTGTTCACCCTTATTCTTTCCTGGACTGATTAAAAAGACCGACTGTGTCATACTTTGTAGGGCACTGAAGACTGTCAGTAGGGCGAGTGGTGGTATCCCATTGGGCCATATCGTTGAAATCGTCATTGATAGGCACTTAGTTTCATGCAAGAAATTTGCTGAAGGGATCTTGTCAGCAGCAGCTTTCACCTTGCTGCCTCTCCTCAGGTAAAACAAGAGGTCATTTCAAAAGAGTTCATGCGCGCACGTCTAAGTACCTGTTGGCATGGTTCTCGTGACCTAGTGGATAACGACTTAGCGTTCGAAAGGATGGGGATGCTGGTTTCAAGCCACAATGAAGAAGTGGGGAAAGACTACCATTCTATTTTTGGACGTCTTAATCAAGAGAACAATTACAGGGAAATTAGAAACTCAAGTTTGCAGAAAATCAACTCACACAAATGAAATACTCAATTACAACAGCAACAACAACAACCCAATAAAAACAACCACTATTCAAGAGGGTCAAGAATCATTGCAGCACTCCCCCCTAGCTCAAATAAAATCGAAGAAAATTATCTCACTGACTTCTCCCAGAGAAAAATGGATATCCACGAAACTTCATCGAAAGACATCTACCCCCCCCCCCAAACCAACCTAACAAATCAAAGATCCCCAAGGAAGACACAAAGAAAATAGTCTTACCATTTATAAAGAAGGTCTCAGAAATCAACTTCAGGAATTGATATCGCACACAAACCAACAAAATCACTTCACTCGGTTGGCTCTGTGTCAACTAAAAGATTCAACAGCAAAAGATAAAGCAAATATCATCTAAAAATTAAATTGCAACGACTACGAAAAACACTACATTGGCCAAAGTGGAAGTCATCTTTACTCTTTGCATCCATCATCACAAACTAACCATCAAAAGACATGACATCTACACACCCGTCATATCACTAACCATGGACATCAATTCTACTGGGACAATTTTCAAATTATAGAAAGAGGAAAGGCCAGGCAAGCCAGAGAATTTTCAGAAGCCTGTTATTCCAGTGAATCGGCAATTAACAGGAACATTTTTTTTCATTCAAGCTAGAGGCTTGAAGTTTCAGTAACAGCGTTATTTCCTTTTACGGGATGGGGTTGTTAGCCAGCCTCATGTCCCCTCTTTACCAGTCTTATTATTGGCTTAGTGAGTTAAAGGAATGCGTCGGCCGGGGATCGAACTCCGGACGATGTGAGGCGTGGTTGGCGAGCATCCTATCGCTGTGCCACCGACGCATATTGATACATATAGAATTTATCATCCCATAAAAGAAAAACCTTATACACAAAAGGTCAAACTTCTAATCAAGAAAACAATCAACACCAACACACAAGTAGACTAGAAGGTGTGAAAACAAACAAAAGCAACCAATCACGTTCACCATGACCAGGAGAGAGAAATTTTAAAGTTCACTTCATCAAATCGAAGTGTGCGCGAAGAAGACGTTACCTCGTGATGCAATGAAAGCTTCGCTGTAAAGGCACTCTACTCGTACTCATGCAGCCAGGTGAGTTATAATCCGAAGTGATAACAACTAGTGGTGTCCGTCAGGCATGCCCACTGTCCCCATTTCTATTCAATTTCATCATAGACGTACTAATGGACTTAACCCTAACACACTTCAGCGATTCAGGGATTGACTTGCTACCAGGGAATAAGCTCGTCGACTTAGAATATGCGGACGATATAGTCCTTCTAGGCGAGGACGCTGACAAAATGCAGAGTCTACTGAACACCTTGAGCAACAATCTTCGTATGTTTGGCATGCGATTCGCCCCTGTAAAATGTAACATGATGCTGCAGGATTGGACTTCACCGACCCGTAGATTAGAAATAGGAAGTGAAGTGGTAGAGCACGTTCACCACCTCACTTACTTGGGAAGTACCATCAGCCACTGCCAACGGGTTGATCTCCGACGAAATCTCAGTACGAATACAGAGGGCTAGGTTCGCATATGCCAGTTTACGCCGTCTCTGGAGTAGACGTGATATCCGACTATCGATCAAAGGGTGTATGTACTGCTCATCAGTCCGCTCCGTCCTCCTTTATAGCTGTGAGTGAGGCATGGCCATTGAGAGCAGGAGACATGAAAAGATTAGCTGTCTTCGATCATAGGTGTCTGCGTTCTATCTCCCGTGTGAAGTGGTATAATAAGGTGAGCAATATTGAGGTTAGGCGTCGAGTGCTAGGTAAGGCGGGGAAATCAATCGGCGAGGCTGTGAAATTACATCGACTGAGATGGTTAGGACATGTGCTACGTATGCCTAGTCATCGCCTTCCTCGACAATGGGCAATGTTAGCTGATATAGGGCCAGACTGGAAAAGAGCTAGCAGCGGTCAAACGAAAACATGGCACCAGTGGATGAAATCCACAATAGTTAGTCTAAGCCACGTAGGAAGGTGCAGACTTCCTGACTGGTTGGGGTCCTCGGGACGGTAAAAACCAATGAAGGTTGGAAACAATTGGTGAAATGGCTCAAAATTGTTCTCAGTGGCTGGCGCAGATGCATCCACTCCTTGTGACTTATGATTTCCAATTAAATTGTTTTGTTCTCCATTATTACTATTCCTTTGTCTCACACCTCTGTTTACTGTCTATATTATGCATTTCTCCTACTTTCTTCTCTTGCTTTGTGTGCTACATGGAGGGAGTGTGGCGACTTGAACTGCCGCTTATATGTGCAAAGTTCTATGTCGAAAACCGACCGACCGACCGACTAGTGAGTTATCCAGCTCAAAGAACACAACTACCCCAAAAAAGACTATCAATCACTCAGGATGATTGATGGTGGTGCAAGTACACATTCATCTGACACATCCCAAATACGGAGAAACGCACATTTCCTAGATTCCACAGCTAGCCATTACCACCTCCAACAACATCATGCGTAGTCAAAACATTATGATAAACGCTCACAAGGAAAAAGAGCAGAAGTCAACCCCTTTTTTTTAAATAAACTTTATTACATCAACAACAAAAAGAGAGTATGGAATTTTACAGTCAATTCTTACCATACATACAAAAACTCAATAAATAAATAAATAACTAAAGCACAAAAATGAAATGTTGTTATCAAAGAAAAAAATAATGGGACAACTTAAAAAATTGCCTCTATTACACACTATTGATATACAACACAGAGAGGGGATTTTATTGTCTCCCTGAATTTAACACGCACGCACACATACACACACACACACACGAAGAGACACGGAGAAGGACAGAGAAACACTATTCATATACAACACACACAAACACAGTTTTATGCCCCCCCCCAAGATGTTTTGAAAGATGGAACACACTCACATATGCACAACATGTTCACCATGAATGAATGATATTGTCGATTCCGCCAGTAAAGTACTCGCAGTAGCACACACGCACACACACACAGGAAGCAGCAGCAGCAGACAACTACACCGAGACGTTTACATCCCATCACCAGCTTTTAGGATCACGTATCATGGATTTCATGAAAGACACAGTGAAATAACTCTTCCACACAAAAATAATAAACATAAATTCAAATCCAATCCAATCAAATATTAATGATGACGCTGATGACTACAGAGTCATGGTAACAGCAGCAGAATTCAAGTTTGAATCACACGTTAACGAGAAATAATTCCTAAATAAGAATTATATATTAAAGAGTCATTAAAGAAGGAAGATAAAGAATTGATCACGGGAATACAGTTTAGAAGATTTGGGCAGGAAGGAGAGACGCCGGGGGGAGGGGAAATGGGAAGGAAAAACACTAATTGGGCAAATTATCATTATTATTATTATCACTACTATCCGCCCGAGTAATCAATCACAAATAATAATAATAACAATAATAATAATAAATAGATTATAAGGGAAGACAGCTGTTATTGAACACGTCCCACCCAATCAAAGACATGCACATACCATCAATTCAAAAACTTAAAAAACCCTATTCTTTTTATTATCATTATTTTTTTTAGAAAAAGTCAAAAGAAGGAAAATTTAAATTTGAAAAAAGCGCGCATTTTTTCCTTGATATTGAACATTGAAAATAAAACACACACACGAGGAAGTGTAATCATCATCAAGACTGAAACATTTGACACACTATTGGACAATTAAATGTGTGAATGTGTGAATCATCATCAATCAATATTGAATCACAAAAGGAATCAATCAAATAAATATTACTAGAATTACACAGATTGGGAAGATATGTATATAGATTGTCTATATTTATATACTATATCTATAAATAATTATTTATAGTATGTACAGATATGAATGAATATGACATGCATGTGCACATTCATGACACACTTATTAGTAGCGGTATTATTATTATTATGTCAAATAGTATTTACACTAATAATAACAGTAATAATATATATATATAAAGAATTAACAGATATATCTATAACTATATATATAATTTTTTGGGGGGATATGGTTTTTAAAAGTTTTACAAATGCTTATTTATTTTAGTAGTTTCTTAAAGTTGTTTAGCTGCACTGCAAGTAGCGTTAGTTTTTGTTGTTAAATGTTAAATGAAGCGGGAAATTTTTTTTAAAAAGATGGTTATTTTAAACAAAAAGACGTCCATTGAACATTGGAGAAAAAGAAAATTGAACGAAAAATTAGGGATTGTTGTAGCTGCTTTTGTTTTCAAATCCTCCATGTTTCTATTTTTGGTAGTTTAATTTGGTAATATAATATAGTATACTGCCAGAAAAATAGAAAACAAGGGTATATATTATCCATCCATGCATACATCACGATTTGAAAATTATTCTTCCCGCAGATTACTAATGACAACCAATCAAAAGGAGTGTAAAGTAACAGAAAACGATGATAGTCGTGGGAAAAAAAAACCGGAGAAGGTAGTTTGGTTAGCCATTCATTCATCCGTTCATTCCATACAGTCAACATTATAATTACTATTAATATTATTGTTATTGATCCATAGTGATTCTAGTGGACGTTGTGAGCGTAGAATTTGATTCGTCTTAATAAATGCTTGTCTTATTCGTGAGACAATATTATCAGCATGAAGGGATCGTGCAGCATTTGCCTGACAGAAAGGTTCTTTCAAAAAAACAAGAAAAAAAAACAATAAGAAAAGAAATTTTTAAAAATTTAGGCTCTGTAATAGAGAAAACATTTTATATCAGAATAATTTTATATTCCACATAAAACACGGTGTGACACTACTCCGTTGAATCTCTGCGTTTTGACAGCCTAACTTTACCACGATCATATCCATAGCCGGTCGGTTTTCGACATAGAACTTTGCACATATGTGCGGCAGTTCATGTCGCCACACTCCCTTCTTGTAGCACACAAAGCAAGAGAAGGAAGTAGGAGAAATGCATATTACAGACAGTAAACAGAGGTGTGAGACAAAGGAATAGTAATAATGGAGAACAAAACAGTTTCATTGGAAATCATAAGTCACAAGGAGTGGATGCCATAGCCACGGACGCATTATAGTCGTCGCAAGGTATTTTGTAAATTAAATCTGTCTAATCGGCTCTAATGTTGTCCTTTAGCCTACACAGCTTGTGCGCAAATGGGTTCGCAGGTTTGAATATGTGTCAGACTGATTCCTGCATTACTATTATTATTATTATGAATCCCACGTAGGGTTTCACATGGTCTTCCTTTATACGGTAGCGCTGTAGATGCTTTAAATCCCTTTATTGTAAGGCTTTTGGCATTTCCCAATTATAATTTTCTGGGATGCAATCATGCTTACTCTATCTATCCATCTACCCATTATTATTATTGTCTCCTTTCCTTCCCGGAGGAACATAGGGCTTCAACCGTACGTCTCCATTGCGTTCAGTTCTCTGCCAACGTTTTCACCTGACACCACATCTGCATACATGCTTTCATCATCTCTTCACATCACCCCCTCCTTGATGTCACCCTCGCACTGATGACCAAGTGACTCACCACTTCCCTTTCGGGTTCCACTCGAACGATGGTCTGGCGTGTGATGTCACTCACTTGATGGTTCGTGATCGCAGAGTACGACCAATCCACCTCCATTTCTTCCTGCATATTTGTTACACAATTGGTTCCTGCTGCGTTGGTTTGTTCATTGCCAGAGATCCCTCCCTGTTACTGATATTTTCTGGTCGGCCATCTCATCTTGAGTAGTATTGAGTGAAGACAGATGCTGATGAAAGTCTGTAGTTTTTTCGAAGTGGCCTTCGTGACACGACGCCAAGTCTGTCTCTGATCTGTATAGTAGCACTGACTTCACATTCCAGATGAAAATCCGGATCTTATTTTTATTCTGAGTGCTGTTGATCTCCACATTGACTTGAGAGTAATGAAAGCCTGCCCTACTTTCCCGATCCTCACACTTTAATATCCGCATCAGTCCCGTCCGCCTGTAGTTGAAACGATGCCTCCCAGGTAGGCAGACAAAAGAGGTTGCCTCTTTCAGATTTCTCCCACTTATGCTGATTGTTGTCTGTTGTTATTGCAATTGCTGTTGGCCAGGGATCTTCATCACGTAGCTCTGTTTCCTCTATGTTCACCTGAATTCCTATCTTTGATGCTTCTTCTACTTCGCTATCTGTTTCATTTTATCAATTAGGATTTCTGATGGACAAATTAGAATTTTATTCTGTTATGGAAAAATATATTGCAAAATAATATATATATATATATATATATATTCCAAAAGAGTAAGAGGTGGCCAAACAAAAACATGGCCTCATCAATCCATGAAATCCTTGACAGTTAAACTGAGTCAGGTAGGGAGATGCAGACTTTCGGGGTTGGGGCCCGCCCTCGGAACTCTAAGAATCAATGGCTGGAGACAATAGGTGGCATGGCTTACGCAGATGTATTCAGTCTCTGTAATCTTTCATATTCCTTTCTACGATTACTCATTCTGTTTCACCCTTATACTTGTTAAAACTCTATTGATTCTCTTCACTCATCTCCTTGTCTACCTTTGTGTGCTATTTGGAACGTGGCAACTCGAACTGCTGCACTTTGGTGCCAAGTTCTATGTTGAATCCAGGCATTCCAAAATAGATAATTTGATAATTTGTAAAATTTAACAAAGCTAAAACAATAAATATATAAAACTTAAATCCATTACGACTTGAGAGCGCCCTACTGGATTAATTCACAGTGGACTTCTACATAAGACAGATATGTATATACTGAGGTGATTTAATACCAACCCCTCCATAATCATACCAAGACTGACACTTTTTGAAATAAAAAAAAGAAGATTTAAAGTTCAGGTGGAAAATTTTAAATTTTTTGTGTTCTCCTCTGAGCTGGTTGATTTAATTTCGAGGATTTTTTTTGTGCTTGTAGACAGTCTCTTCAGAGCAAGCTTTAATATGAAAGTCTTTATGAGACTGAATGATAGTGAGAAAGTGTCAGAGAGCGGGTAGTAATACGAAGAACTTGTGTAACACCAATAATCAACTTTACTGTTGATATATATATATATATATATATATATATATTGGTTTTTAGCCTCCCAAGGACTCCAACCAGGAAGTCTACACCTTCCTACGTGGCTGGCTTAAACTAACTGTTGTGGATTTCATTGACTGATGAAGCCATGTTTTGGTTTGATCACCATTAGCTCTTTCTCAACAACCTGATCCTGTGTCAACCAACGTTGCTCAACGTGAAAGGAGATCGACGGCTAGGGATGCATGCGTAACACAAGTCCTAACCATCTCTCTCAAACGATATAAATTCACAACCTCGTCGCGATTAATTTCCCTTCCTTAGCTGGCACTCGATGTCTAACCTCAATACTGCTCACTCTATTGTACCACGCCACTTAACACGGGAGATAGAATGCAGACACTTTTGGTTAAAGATAGCTAGCTAGCCTGTCTTTCTTGTCTTCCACTTTCAATGACCATATCTCACTCACAGACATAAAGGAAGACAAAGCGGACTGCTGAGCAGTACACACACCCTTTGGTCGACAGCCAACCGACTATCACGTCTACTAAGTCAAAGATAACGTAAGTTGGTAATTGCAAAACGAGCCTTCTGTATCCATGCTGAGATTTCGTCAGCGATCAACCCGATGGCGGTGACTGATGCAACTCCCTAAATAAGTGAAGCGATCAACACGTTCCACCAACTAATATATATATAATGAGGTTGTGAAGCCATCGACTGAAATGGGTAGGACACGTATTACTGATACCAAACCATCACCTTCTCAAAACAGCAATGTTAGCTGACACAGAATTATGTTGGAAAACAGTTAAAGGTGGTCAAATCATAACCTGGCACGCACCAATCGATGAAGTCTTTGCCAGTCGATTTAAGCCACATAAGGAGGTATGAATTGTTTGACCGGGTGAACTGCTTAGGGTGCTAAGAATCAATGGCTAGAGACGATTGGTGATATGGCTCAAAGTCGCCTCTCAATAGTACAGATAGATACATTCACTCTTCGTGATTTCTCATATCCACTAAATCTTTATGTTACTCTTCTCTCTGCCTCACATTTCCCCTTATTATTATGTTTCTTTCGAATGCATTCTTTTCTCCACCTGTGTGTACTATGTGAACTGTGGAAACTTGAACTGATACACTTCTGTGCGAAGTCCTGTGTTGAAACAATCAGTCAGTTGATCAAAATCTGGAATCGATACCCACTAGCTGGAAGTCGAGTGCTCCGATGAATAAGCCATACCTTAAACTATAGTGTTGAGTGACACTAATTGATAAAACTGGAATCCACATTTTAAGCCAGTGGCTATTGGACGACTTGCTCGACCTTGAGCTGGTTGCCAACCAATCAGAACAATAATCTATTCTCTTAAGCGACACTTAATGTGACTAAGAATGTATAAATACGACGTGTATTTCCTTAATAAAGGTGCGTTACCAAGTCTCTCATCTGCTCCTGTTACAAAACTTACGTTATTACCACTCTGAACTAATTGCTAGATATAATTTCCAATGTATCCGGGGCATAGGTGTTACATCATTTCTATGGCATGTAAATATATGTGTAAAACTTGGGCACTGTGGTAGTAAGTAATTCCATATTAGTTTGTTTATTAGGTATATCACACAGTGAAACAGTATTATTTACTGGATGACGTTTCGAACAAAATTTATTACTTTTCATAATCATATCAATTGTGATCACACGACTTTGACACTTGAGTTTTATAGCTTTCTTTGTTTTCTCCAATTTGTCGTAGGGGGGGGGGTAGCTTTGTCGGCTAAAGGATCCTGTAGAGCCTTTAAAACAAAACAATTTAGTTATCTAATACCCTGCAATGATTGTCAGGTCAAATGCATAGGTCAAACTAGTAGAACAGGGGCAGTCAGACTAGCTGAACATAAAAACTTAGCAAAATCTAGATTGGTTGACCCCAATAAAATAAGGAATCTAGAGAATAGTTCAGCTATAGCACTACATGCAGTCACACACAACCATACAATAGGATGGGATAGGATGACAGTTTTAAAATCTAATGTCACAGGGTATAGGGAGAGATTGATAACGGAAGCTTTGTTTATCGAATCAACTGCAAATACGTGTAGTAGAAATGATTCAACACCGGTCCAGTCGGATATCTGGAAAATTCTACTACCCTTACGACTAATAGGAGAGAACAAAGAAAGCTATAAAACTCAAGTGTCAAAGTCGTGTGATCACAATTGATATGATTATGAAAAGTAATAAATTTTGTTCGAAACGTCATCCAGTAAATAATACTGTTTCACTGTGTGATATACCTAATAAACAAACTTCTATGGCATGTATTTAGTGTGGAGTCAACGAACAAAGATTCAGTGGTTGTCACTTCCATGTAATCTCACACAATACAGTTGGATGTCATCAGAGTAGTATAGGTAGGCGGGGAGACAGAAAGAGAGAGAGAGGTAAGCAGCTGAGTCTGACTGACTGGTTTCAAAATACAACTTTACACAGATGTGCAGCAGTTCAAGTCGCCACACTCCATGTAGTAAGCACACAAAGGTAAAAATAAATGCAAAATAGAGACAGTAAACAGAGATATGAGGCAAAAAGAATAGTAATATCGAAGAACAATACAGTTTCATTGGGTATTACACGTCACAAGGAGTGGATGCATCTGCGTCAGCCATTGAGAACGATTTTGAGGCATATCACCGATTGTCTCCAGCCATTGGTGTTTACCGTCCCGAGGACCCCAACCAAAAAGTCTACACCTTCCTAAGTGGTTGGCTTAAACCAGCTGTCGTAGATTTGACTGACTGATGAATCTATGTTTTGGTTTGACCACGTGCTGGCTCTTTTCCAACTTTATCCATCTTATGTTAGCTAACGTTGCCCGTTGTCGAGGAGGGCGACGGCTAGACATATCCTAACTAGTAACTGAGAAACAACGGACTGATTGGTGACGAAATCTCAGCACGGATCCAAAAAGCTCGAGTTGCTTTCGCTAAATTACACCGTCTCTGGCGTAGGTGTGACATCCGGCTATCAACCAAGGGACGCGTGTACTGTTCAGCAGTTCGCTCCGTTTTTCTCTATGGCTCTGAAACATGGCCAATACGAGTTGAAGACATGAAAAGGTTGATTGTATTTTATCATAGATGTCTACGATCTCTTTCTCACGTTAGGTGGCATAATAAGGTAAGTAATGTTGACGTTAGGCGTAGAGTGTTGGGCAAAAAGGGAAAATCAATCGAAGAGGTTATAAAGTTACATAGATTGAGATGGTTAGGTCACGTGCTGCGCATACCTAGCCATCGTCTCCTCCGACGGGCATTACTAGCTGATATAGGTGCAGGTTGGAAAAGAGTAAGTGGTGGCCAAACAAAAACATGGCCTCATCAATCCATGAAATCCTTGACAGTTAAACTGAGTCAGGTAGGGAGATGCAGGCTTCCGGGTTGGGGCCCGCCCTAGGGACTCTAAGAATCAATGGCTGGAGGCAATAGGTGACATGGCTCAAAATCGTTGTCAATGGCTTACGCAGATGTATTCAGTCTCTGTAATATTCGGTCTCATATTCCTTTCTATCATTACTCATTCTGTTTCACTCTTATACTTGTCAAAACTCTATTGATTCTCTTCACTCATCTTCTTGTCTACCTTTGTGTGCTATTTGGAACGTGGCAACTCGAACTGCTGCACTTTGATGCCAAGTTCTATGTTGAATCCAGACAGACAGAGAGACAACTAGTAACTGAGTTCATCGTTCCAGCTTTGAATTACACACTTATCTAGCTCTGAAAGGAAATGGTTCACTCTCCGTTATATGCATGCATACTTAGTGTACAGAAATGTATTATATATATATACAACTTTAAAAAAGATTGAATACAATTCAACTTACCTTCAATAAAAATTTTTAAATTTCTTGCAGTATGCGCTTGTTCATGTGGTGGTAAGCGTTTAATAGCTAAATCTATAGGTAATGGTGTTCCATGACGGATAGACACTGCCCATTGGTTAAAATTAAATTCATTTGTATAATAATGAATAAATCCAACAAATAATTCAGCTAAACTTGCTTGATTATTTGAGCGTAATTCAGCCCATGGTAATTCAAGACGCATATCTAATTCACACAATGGTCTAGTATAATTGAATATTTTCTTAAAAAGAGAAGAGAAGAGAAGAGGAGAAGAGAAAGATAAACAAAAGTAATGAATGAATTAAATTTATCAAAATTTTCTCAACACATAACTATTTTCTCAACATTGAATTTGATTTCTATAGAGAAGAGATTCTTTAATATTTACGCGTATCTCCAACTACTTGCCCAACTGATTGTCCGATCAAGGTCATCACGTCCATTTTATTCGGTCCTTTGTTTGTGTCGCTTAATGTCTGAACTTACCAATAAGTCTCGATCTGAAAGTACTGGACAGCTGTTTCGTCCTTGTTTGCAACTCTTCAACCGTAGGCACCCATGATACGCACCAAGGTTCAAACTCAGGAGAGCTTGTTGAATATCCGAACACTGAGATAGCATCTATTCTAGCTTCTATGCATTAGCAATATACAGTGTTACCAGCACCAGCCATGTCATCGGCGAGCAATTGTCCCAAGGACTGGATGGTTAACAAGGTTATCTCGTAACCCCGAGGTTCGGGATTTGTTCTCAGGTGGGTTCATGGATGAGTATTGCTGGAGAGTTCTAAACTATGACAAAACCGCTGTCCAAACCAAAACTTGGCTTCATCAGTCAATCAGATTCACAACAATTAGTTTAAGCCAGCCAGCCAGCCAGTCGAGTAGGAAACTGTAGACTGCCTGGTTGGCTGGTAGAGGTCCTCAAGACGGTGAAAACCAATAAAGGCTGGAGACAATTATCGGTGGTATGGCTCGAACACCTCGTTTTCACTGGCTGGCGAAGATGCATCCACTCCCTGTGACTTATAATTTCCAATAAAACTATATGATTCTTCGAAATTACTATTCTTTTTGCCTCATATCTCTGTCTACTGCCTCTATTTTGAATCTCTTTTTACTTTCTTCTCTTGCTTTGTTTGCTTGCTACATGGAGTGCGTAGACTTGAACTGCTGCGCAGTTCTAGAATTTTTCTAACCTCACCCTATGTCAGCTAACATTGCCCATTGTCGAGAAAGGCGATGGTTAGGCATGCATGTGTAACACATGTCCTAACCATCTCAACTGGTGTAAATTCGCAGCCTCGTGTATTGATTTCCGCTTCTTACCCAGTAGTACTCAACGCCTAACCTCCATATTGCTTACCCTATTATACCACATCACACGAGAGATAGAAAGCAGGCACCTATTATCAAAGACAACTAGTCTTTTCATGTCCTCCACTCTAAATGGCCAGGTCTCACAGCCATAAAGGAGAACAGAGCGGACTGCTGAGCAGTACACATGCCCTTTGGTCGATAGCCGTCCCGACGACCACCAACCAGGAAGTCTACACCTTCATACGTGTACAGGAGTCCTTAGTTTTTTAATGGTTCTCTCTCTAACTGAAGATCACGCTAGAAATATTCATGGAAGATCACAAAAGGGTTAACAAACAAAAAAAAGTTTGCGTCTTACAAATAAAACAACATTTCCTATACAATTCAAATTGCAAAAATCAAAATCGATGATAAGATTGCAAATATAAAGAGACATTATATTACTATAAGAAGAAATATAAACATACCGGGAATTTGGCCTGTAAATTAGGTAATATTGGTGGCGAACATGATGCCTGTAGATACTGGATAAGCATTAGAAGTAAAGGATATGTTGATAGACGACCTCGTTTACCATCATGAATATCCATACGTTGAGCCCAGTATTTGATAAACATTCCCAACGGTCGAACACGCCAGTCGACTAGATTTTGTGAGAGGAAAAAATGCCAATGTAGATTTCGTCACAAAAGAATCAACATTAGTTAGAATGATCATTGAAAACCAAAGTAAGACACTGGACACAGATATTTTTGTCCTTGTTTGAGACTCTTAATCATTGCGCATCTACGACTGCACCAGAGGTCGATTCAGGAGTCTTCAAGACCAAGCGCTCACTGACTTTTCAGCCATTTGAGCTGAAATCCAATGACTGAAGAGAATCCTAATTTCTGTCAGTTCGTGTTACAGTGCTACCGTCAATCGACACCTTAGAGGATGAACATCTATTTCACCTTGACACCCATTGGCCACTGCCGTGACTTCTTAGTACAGCTTCAGAAAATTCACCCAGTGGCCATCTATCAATGAGCTGGAGATTGGTAGTCAGATTATGGACGTCTTAAGACATCTGGATTCATTTCAGTGTATCGTTAGTCTCACGTAAGCAGTTTTATAAGGAAAAGAAGGGAGAAAACTGATGAATATGCAGATACTTTTGTCATGAACTGATACACCAGTTGGAGAACACCAATAATTAAAACCTCAAGAACACTAGGAAGATAATCTTATCCCAATTTTAGACTTTTCCGTAAGTACCTTTACATGAAATCTGAAACTGTAACAATCAACATAGTAGTCTAAAAACTGTTGTCGAATATTATCAGTGCTACTACTATCAACATATTGCGGACTAACTGAATAAATCCATCCCTGTTCTCTCATAGAGAAGATTGAGGTGATGAAGATAACCAACCAACCTCGAACAACAACAATAACAACAACCAGCACTAATCACCATCAACAGGGGTTACTACCTGGCATACACTTATCTAGGCAAGCCAGCATCGTTTCAACTACAGGCATTGGGAACGGATGAAGATGTTAAGGCAGGCCAAAATTGGAAAAGCAAGATACGCGCCTTTGTCAATCTGAAACCAGTTTGGAAATCTTCTGCACTCCGCGCCTCAGCATAACACAACAATATTCGGATTCTGTTCAACATAAATGTGACGTCAGTCAGTCAGTCAGTTCTTCTATGCGGGTCAGAAAATTGCTCTGCATGTCAGGAAAAGGATTTTCAACCGCCAGATGCAGACTTTTACCAACAGCTGCACACTTCGCTGGTTTCATATTGAAGAATAAATGGCCAACCGATTAACCGGCCAGAAAGAATTAACAAGAAGAAATTCTGGCTGGGAAAAAAACCAACAGGAAAGAGCCGATTGTTCAACAAATATGTAGGAGAAAATGGAGATGGATTAGGCATACACAATTGAGGAAGCCGTCGAATGAAATCGCGCACAGTGCAGGCCATCACTCGAGTGGTATCCCAGTGAGAAATGACGAGGTGGTCGTCGGTGCGAGGGTGACATGAAGCAGATGGTGTGAGGCGGAAGAGATGAGATTATAGGCAATGGTGGACCCAGCTGAACAGGACAGAAGAAAATAGAACAAAGTGAAAATGTGTTTTTGAAGCTCTATGTTCTACATGGAACCCAAGGGAATAACAATAATAATAATAATTAACAAAGGTACTGAAAAGTACTCATGAAAAGAAATTTACTAAATCTACTTTCCTCGTAAGGCAGAACTGAAGATTATGCTTAGACAGACATTAAGAATTATGCCAACAACACGAAAAGTTCATGGGGTAAAATGAAGTGCTTTTCAGTGAGTAAAACAAATATGCGTCGATGGTTCATTGGTAGAACGCTCCTTCTCTCCCCACGTGGGATATCCACAATCTATTCCCAGCCGACGCACTGCTAAACCCCACACCCGCAGAAGGAAGGTCAGAAAAGGCAGAGGGTTAGGCGGAAGACTAACACCGCCATCGCTACTACTAAAACTTCAGAGTCTTGAAGTTCTCTATCTTCAAGTTCCATTCGGAACAACGTAAAAGATTGAAAGTCCAGCATAATTTCATTTCAACTTAAAGAAATATAGAAACTTACTTTTTGTATACATAGCCAGTAAATGTGTATTATATATTCCGACAACATTATTCACATTTAAATCACAGTCAACACCAGCCAGTGTATCACGAAATTTTAAAATTGGAACTTTAGCAGGAATTAAATTTAAATCACGAATAAAACCTGTGAATATAAAAGAGGGGAAATAAATGATATCATCGATAACTATTCATTCAAAAATATATATGATGAATTTCAAGAAGAAATGTATAATTATTAATAGGCTGTGAATGTTCTAAGTGATAGAATAATAGAATGATAGATTTGAATAAATGACTTTGTGGTGGGAGCTGTCCGCAAGCCAATAACAAAGTTTAACCTTGAGGAACTCACCAACCAATCACAGCAGACTTAACGTGTGCAAATAAGATTCGCAGATATATGGCTTGACTTTCTATGAAACGGCCACGAAGAGATGACAGAATAACCTTCAGCAAGAAGACAACCAATCAGAAGACGTTGCTCCTCTGCTAACAATAATGTACAAAAACATCTATAAATATCTGTTGATTTTTTCAATAAACGAACTGTTGCCTGACCCTTGTCTTCTGTCGTTACAACTTGACTTGGTAAAACAATTTCGGTTCATTGATAGTAAGAGCGTTATTTGAACTGAGCTGCCTGAAGCAGGCTATGAGACATAATCAGTGTATGCAAACTAATAATGAAACGGGAAAACAGAAGAGACTTGGTAACGGACCTTCACTTTCTTAGTCACATTACAGTTCGGTTAGGTCAGAAAACAATGGATTATTCTGATTGGTTGGTCATTCGTCCAAGGTTAAACAAGTTGTTCAATAAGGTTATTTCATATTCACAACGTAAACTAAATACACACTCTCCAGCCAGTCATTTACGTAAAATGCTGATTTCAATATTGGCCACTTCCCATCAATCTTCATCACGCCACAGTAGCACTGCCACCATGTTGTCCAAGCTGAATTCAAACCCCGTAGCCACAGACTAGCACAGCAACTGAATCAGTGACACTACAGACTGTTGAACTCAAAACCGTAGACTAATTAATAAAAGTACTGCAAAGCTGCTTCGTCCCTCCTTAAGACTCTTCAAAAGTACGCACCCACCGGGGTTGGGATCCAGGACCTTCCAGTGGTTGAACAGCACTACGAGTTTCCTTTGTGACCGGAAGGTCCTGAAGTTCGGACCCCAATCCCGAACTAGGACCAAACAGCTGTTTAGTACTCTCTGATTTCCGATAGTTCTCTAAATGACATCAGTCCATGGCCACACGTAACCCTTGAAAAATAAGTAATATAAATCTTCAGATACATCTTATTGATGATAATTAACTAAAGAAACAAACGATATGCATAGATTTTGTCAGTTACTTCTAGAAAAAAAGCATTCATGTTAATAATCAATAGTATCACATCACTTTGGGATTTTACGTTTTGAAAATATTTCAAGCGAAATATCGAATCTATTTCCAAGCAATTTTGTATCGTCTTTATACTGTGCAACCATACGAAAGGATTAATTATAACAATGTTCACATTAGATAAGATTTCTATCTATTTTCTAATGATTTAATGATGGTCAGGAAAGCTCTGTATAGTGATAAGAGTGTGTGGGGGGTTATAAATTCCTGGCTCCACACATCATAGCAGTCAATTTTTTCTTGGGATATCTGTGTTGCATGACCACAGAGCCCCCCAGGGGACAGCTGTTTTAAGCCGGTCACACAAAGTCTGTTTAAAATAGTTGCTGGAGTTGCGTCCGGTCTAAGATCTTGACATCGCTAATGGACCACTGCACAGTTTTCGCGATCAACCTTTTCTCACCTCCCGTTTCCCCTGAGTGGAAAGACAGCATAGCTTACTTTGTGGTCATCTGAGAGAAACACCATATCGCTGTTACATTCCTACTCACGAGCTGTACAAGTTGGTCTAAAGACTCCAAACACAGTGTCAGTGACCTACACTATGATGGCAACTACTACTGGTGTGACCGCCATCCAAACGATAGGACCTGCAGGAACCTGCAGTTCTAGTCCGTGTATCGCGTCAGGTCATTTTAATATACTGGTGTAACCACCACCGACCATGCACATGGTCCGGGGTTCGATCCCCGACCACAGACGCACTCTTTTACCTCGCTAAGCCAGTAATAATAAAAGCTGGTAAAGAGTAAAGGTTGATTATGAGACTAGCAACTCCATCTTGTAAAAATAAACACTGCTACAGAAACTTCAAGTCTCTAGCTTGAAGCCCCATTTTCCACTGGGAACATGAAGGTATCAAATAAAAATAAGGCAAAATGAATAGTACTATCAAAGAACCATTTAATTTTATTGGATATTATAAGTCATAAAGAGTGGATGCATCTTCGCCAGCCATTGGGAACGATTTCGAGGCATACCACCAACTGTCTCCAGCCTTCATTGGTTTTCAACGTCCAAAGGACCCCAACCAGCCAACCAGGCAGTCTACACCTCCCTACTCGGCTGGCTGGTTGGTTGGCTTAAACTAGCTGTTGTGAATCTGATTGACTGATGAAGCCATGTTTTGATTTGACTTCCACTAACCCTTTTCCAACCTGACCCTATGTCAACCAACGTTGCTCGCCGTGGAAGGCGATCGATGGCTGGGTTAGCATACGTAACACATGTCCTAATTATAGCTCTCAATTGATGTAAATTCACAACCCACCTCGTCGACTGATTTCTCCTCCGTATCTGGAACTCGACACTTAACCTCAATATTACTCACTCTATTGTACGACACCATATAACACGGGAGATGGAACACAGGCACCTATGACCAAATACAGACAGCCTCTTCGTGTCTGCCACTTTCAGTGACCATGCCTAACAGACATAAAGGAGGACGGAGCGGACTGTTGAGCAGTACACACGTCCTTTGGTCGATAGCCGGATATCACGTCTACTTAGCCAGAGATGGCATAAACTGGCATATGCGAAACGAGCCTTCTGTATCCGTGCTGAGATTTCGTCAGCGACCAATCCGCTCGTATTGACTGATGCAACTCCCCAAATAAGTGAGTGAAGCGGTCAACACGCTTCACCAAACAGTTCGCTCCTCAGCCTTCAAGCTAGAAGTCAATGTAGTCCAGTCGAGTCCTGTATATATTTGACAAAGGGAGCGAATCGCATGCCAACCACTCGCAGATTGCAGCTCAAGGTGTTCGGAAGACTCTGATCTATTTTGCCAGCGTCTTTACGCGGACTGGAGGATTATATCATATGCATATTCTAAATCAACAAGACTACTATTCCCTGGTAGTAACACGTCAATCTCTGAGTCACTGAAGTCAGTTAGAGTGGCACAGTGGCAGAATGCTCACCGACCATGCATGTGGTCCAAGGTCCGATCCCCGGCCACGAACGCCCTCCTTTAACTCGCTAAGCCAGTAATAAGACTGGTGTACAGGGGGAAGGTTGGGCATGAGGCTAACAAAATCATATCGTAAAAATAAAATACCACTGCTACCGAAACTTCAAAGCTCTCTTTAGCTTTAAGGTGCCCTATGTTCCACTGGGAAAGTAAAGGAATAAAATTAAAATTTAAAAAAAAATTAATTCCACATACTAAAGGTCCCACGGGCTGGATAGTATACGAGCTTACCTTGTAACCGGAAGGTCCTCGGTTCAGAACCCAGCGGGTGCGTACTGCCGATGATTCTCAAGCAAGGCTGATGAAACAGCTGGCTGTCCAGTACTCCCGGCTAGTTTTCAATGGTTCTCTCTAACTGACTGATATCAATCCGTGGTGAAACTCAAAATCAACTTCACAAGTGAATTCAATGACTGGACAAATATTACTGAAGACGGTATACCTTTACAGTACAAAAGTAATGTAATTATTTACAGTCTATCAGAGAATAAGGCTTATATGCTGTAATGACTGTATCGATGGAGAAGTTGATAATCTGAAGAGTAATCGTTGAATTTAGCTTTGTATTCCCCATTGATTGATTATACTGTACCGAAATCTTTGGTCTCTGCTGACACATACCCGTTTCACAAGAGGTGACTCTCTCACGACCCAATTGGTCTATTGGCTCACACTAGCGTTTAGAACGATGAGTGGTTCAGTTCGCTTTTCAGCCTGGGAATCCCATCAATCACTGGCGTGAGTTCGCAGATATATCCAGTTGCTGCTGCTGCTGGATTCAACATAGAACTTGGCACCGAAGTGGAGCAGTTCGAGTTGCCACGTTCCAAAATAGCACACACAAAGGTAGACAGGAAAATGAGAGTACTAAAAGCAGGACGAAACAAGTATGTCCTGAATTCCTACTGCTAGTCAGTCTCACAGAGCATCCATCAAACAGTTTTTTTCGACTCCTCTGAGTTCTAAGTGAGAAATAGGACTTCCAGTTTGAGCTTTTAAGTTTCGTTTCAAAGAATGGAATTGTTGGCTTCATATCCAATATCCCGTTTAAGAGTGTGTGTCAGCCAAAAATCGAACTGCGGAGAACGCATGAGGCATAATCGGCGAGCATTCTGCCATTGGGGGGATACAATGGCAAGGTAACCTTGAAGAGTATCCTGGCTACAAAATGTCTATCTATCTATACCAGGAGAACAGTACGCAAAAAGATATATATATATATTGAATAGAACAAACACTGCACGTACTACACTTTTGTAAAGGCGGTAACAGCTGACTTAATATGTCGGCAGCTTCTATTTTCTGTTGTAAATCACGTGATGTCACAGTTAAACACATATCCATATCACTTTGATCTGAGCCAAAACCGTTCATCGATGAGCCAACAATGAACAGACCAGCATCTTTAAAAAAGTGTGAAAAAAAACAATACAAAACAAAAAAGAGGAAACAATTACATCATCACAAGCAAAAAGTAATAATAACAAATGAAAAAGAAATATATTTGCAGGATAAAAACAGTTCAGAGTTTTCTTATTCCACAAGTTTTCATCAGCTGCTAACAGTCTAAACACTGATACTAAATATATCACATGGTGAAACAGTATTACTTACTGGATGACGAAGTTTAAATGACAATTTATTGTTAATCATAATCATTTCATCAATTATCACCACATAACTTTGAAACTTTCATTTTATAGTTTTCTTTATTTTTTCCTATTCGTTGTCGTAGGTAGGCGCAGGGGAATTTTCCAGATGTCTGCCTGGATAGGTGTTGAAGCATTCCTATTACACGTGTCTGTAGTTGATTCAACACATAAAGCTTCCGTTGTTAATCTTGTTCCCTACACCCTGTTATATTGGACATTAGACTGACTGACCGACTGGTTACAACATAATAATAATAATAATAATAATAATTTTTGCTTTATTCCAAAAACAGTATTAATGATACAGCAAGGAATTTTCAGCATTCAGTACAGTATTGCATCTAATTTACTCAAAAACGACAACAAAAAAATAGATAAACGGAATAACTAATACATAATAATGATAACAAAACGTTTTTATAGGAGCTATGTAGCAATTACAGTATAGGATAAGGAGAAAAATATAAAATTATAGTAATAATAGTAATAACAACTAAAATAAAAATAGCAAAGTTATAATTAAACGATAGAAAGGGTGACACCATAGAATTACAGAAAGATGAACAATGAAAGGGTCCATTCACTATGCTAATTACATAGTAACTTATATGTTTCACGTCTAACAGAGTCTTCATCACATAAAATACGGGCTAAATACGGTATTGTAGAATTTTTGTACTTAGTGGTACGAGCATATAATTTCTTATATTGACTTCTCGTTCTACCTGATGAGATACAAGGGGATAATTGTGAATAAAGGGGGTGCAGAGGGTCTGACAGTACGGCCTTTGCCCAATTTGTACAGGAATTTACGTGTCTCTCGACTATGGTATTGGCGAGATCACGCAGTGGCAAACCACAAGCCTTACTCACAGCATTTAATACCCTTCGTAATACGGCATAGTCTTTTTTAAGAAGCCCAGGAAAGATTAATGGAGAACAATAAAGTAAAATGGGTAAAATACAGGAGTTTAAAAATTGCAGATGTGCAGCAGTTCGTTCTAGTTTCCACACTCCATGTAGCATAAAAAGCAAGAGAAGAGAGTAGGAGAAATGCATAGTATAGACAGTAAACAGAGGTGTGAGACAAAGGAATAGTAATAACGAAGAACAAAACAGTTTCATTGGAAATCATAAGTCACAAGGAGTGGATGAATCTGCACCAGCCATTGAGAACGATGAGTTTGAGCCATGTCACCAATTGTTCCCAACCATTGCTTTTTACCGTCCCGAGGACCCCAACCAGGAAGTCTACACCTTCCTACTTGGCTTAAGCTAACTGTTGTGGATTTTATTGACTGGTACCATGTTTTGGTTTGACCGCCGCTAGCTCTTTTCCAGACTGAACCTATATCAGATAACATTGCCCGTCGAGGGAGGCGATGACTAGACATACGTAACACATTTCCTAACCATCTCAGTCGATGTAACTTCACAACCTCGTCGATTGATTTCCCCTCTCACCTACCTAGCACTCGACGCCTAACCTCAGTATTGCTCACCTTATTATACTACCACTTCACACGGGAGATAGAAAGCAGGCACCTATGATCGAAGACAGCTAATCTTTTCATGTCTTCCGTTCTCAATGGTCAAGTTTCACAGCCATAAAGGAGCACGGAGCGGACTGATGAGCAGTACAGCAATACCTGAAGAGACTTTTAATGTGCTACGCGTCATGAGCCATACTTGTTGTGCTGCCGCCTATGTGGCAGAATTCAATCAAACTTGAGGAACCTAGTGGGTGGAGGTGAAGTGCGAAAATGTCAACTGAACACATTCAAACAATGAATCTCCATAGTTACGTGGAAATATCCAGTTATGAAGCAAACAGATTATATGTGATGATACACGCTTATCAATTCATGGGTTACAATAATAGTTAGTTAAATAATGTAGTACCACCATTGCTTATTTCGTTGGCTTCTCATCAGCTGCTTGCGTACAGCCTAAATAAATTATTATCAAGTTCATGTACAGAAACAATTTTAACAGACTTGTGAATTTTACATAATGTCAGTTGACAGGAAGTTCCGAACTTAGTGAACAGTGCTCTAAAAATTACGCTTACATAGCTTTTACACAGGGAGTTCGAGTTTAAACAAAGTAAACGTATACGAAGACTAGAGGTGCGTAAGATGATAAGTAACCCAATAAGTTCGGTAACAATACACTGAGTTCAACTCAAATCAAAGAAACATATGAATTTAGTTAAGGGAAGAATGGTTGACCCTGAAAAGATAAGCAATTTCGAAAAAAGCTCAGCAATTGCACTTCACGCATTAACAAACAACCACACAATAGGGTGGGAGAGGGTTAAGATTCTAAGAAGTAATCTATGTAGGTGGAGAGAGGGAGAGATTGATTACTGAATCCTTGTTCATTGAGTCTACACCCAACACATGCAACAGAAATGACTCAAAAGAAATACCAGAAATATGGAAGATATTATTACCGCCGGTCAAATCAGAAGAGGATAATAAATAATCTCAAAATGCTATTTCAATTCAAGCACATCACAACATTCGAACAAGTAACTTATTGTGACTATAGAAACACTCGTTTTATTTCCCGTCTAATTGTAATTGATCAATATCACTGATATTATTATTTCTGAATGTACATTATCTCATATTGAATTTTATTCCAATATCTAATCGATTCCACACATGTATATGAATGAAGGAAAAAAGTTGTGTGAGTAACTTGATAGGATTATGAGCAATAGTTTATGCTCGAAACATCACTGTATGACTTATCAAAATAAAATCTTATCCATAATGGAGTATTTGGTTGGTAGTAGTTAGCCATGAAATATAGAAAACGCGCATTTCATCCTACTTGGGACTTGTCATCTGGATGCATATGCATCCTCACTGAGACTAGAAATCAGGCACCCGACGTTTCAAATGCTTAAACACCAGCAACGCCGAGCAAATGAACCGCCTCTTGTGCAACAGATCAATAAGCCTTAATGTACCTTTAAAGCATCCACGGTAGGTGCTGACATATAAGCATAGACTGAGAATTTCAGCCTAGTGTAATCAATTAACAAGAATATTCAAGTGTTGGTTATCGGGGATTCAATTGGTTACAGGATTTTATCATGAGTTGATATCAGTTAAAGAATCATTGGAAAACCAGCTGGGAGTACTGATTTGGGACTCTTCAGCAGTAAGGTACACCAGGTCAGGTGTGAAGACAAATACTTGCCAGCCATGACATTAGCTAGTGACAGTCACGCTGGTCATTGTATCGAGCCTCAGTGGCTTAATTGTGTAACTGGAAAGTTCTGGCTATGAACACTGGCGGTGGGTGCGTACCGATGAAGAGTCTCAGACTAGGCTGACGAAACAGTTGTCCAATTACTCCCAGGTCTTCTAATGCTTCTCTAACCGACGTCAGTTCATGATGAAATCCTGTAATTAACGAATTCTAATAATTTAGTGTAACGACTAGTAATCAGTTTACTTCAACTGTTTAAAGGAAAACTGAGTGTAAAGAGAAAGCAGAATATTAATAATTATGCACATATACGCACACACACACACACAAAAGAAAAATAGGGGACAACCTTTATCAAAAATATTCTCACTTACTTTCAAAAACTCCTGATACAACAACATGTAAAGCATTACACAAGTGAACTTTCTTAGCATACTTTAATGAAGTTTGTTTTGTATTTGTAAAAAATTGCCATATTATCATTGATAAATTCTCCATATATGAGGATTTTGGTAGGATATAACCAGTAGGTGCAAGTGGACTAATAACAAATTGCATACCATTTGGTTGTGTTGATGTAAAAGACAACGGGGTACCCCCACCACCACCATTAAGCATAGACTGTCGATTGGAAATCATTTGTAAGCGACGATTAGTTGAAAAGAGAACTGGTATCGGTAAGCCACCACCACCACTGCCTGAAGTGTTAGTTTGATGGCTTTCATTCACTTGATTTTCATTAGATCCTGCCGGAATATTATTCTGTAACGCATAATATAACAAGTTGAAAGATGAGAGTAATTGTTAGTCGTCATTTACAGGGATTTGATCAGAGTGGAGTATTGGACAGCTGTTTTGTCAGCCTAGTTTGAGACTCATAGGAAGTAAGCACCCACACCGCCAGGGTTCGAGCCCAGGATCTTCCGGTTACAAGGCTAGCGAGCTCGGAGAACATTCAGCCACTGGGACCCGTCTCTTCAATGACCAACCCATGAATTATAACTTCTACCAATTCGTGATTTTAGCATGAACACCAACGAATATTATCGGTGACTCCTAAATCTCATTAAACCGATGAAGCGGGTAGGTTGGGAGTGAGGGTGACAACCCCCCCCACCCTGTAAAAATTCAATTACTGCTAACGAAACTTCAAAGCTCCAGCTTGGAGACCTATGTTCCACTCGGAATGTAATGGAATTATATATATGTATATATACCTACGTAGGAGCATATAAACAGTCGTACAATTTGCGAGGCCTCAGGCACAGAATAGAAACAGTAGTGTCCATTAAAGATGCCCACCACCGCTATCTTTATTCAACTTTACAACTGATATGCTTATGAAGATTCCTGAAGATCTCTTCAACTGACTTCAAAAAAGAATGAATCTGTTTGCAGAAGCCTCCTGGACTAACTCGGAATAAGCAGACTACACGTTTCTATTAACTAAAGAAAGCTGGTAAGATGGAGTTTTCTATATATACTTCAAGTGATCATTTGAAAATGTTTAATAAGCATGTTTCACTTCTTAAACATAAATTATTCCTTGAGAAAATAATCTTTATCGATACGTGGTGGGGTTTAATTAGAGAGTGAAGTGGTGAACTGTGTCGACTCGCCCGATTGCTTTGAAAATTCACTTCAACGTTGGTGGTTTATGAGCTAGCAATATATGTTGGCACATATATACGAAAGGTTCATTTAGCCTTCACCATTCTTAGCTATTGTCAACACTTGAGAGATATCCGATCTTCTATAAACATTTATATATATATATATATATATGTATATATAGTTGCAATGTGTTCTATTTTTGTTCTGACTAACTGCGTTTCAACATAGGACTTGGCTCAGAAATGCACCGGTTCCAGTTGCCACACTCCATGTGGTACACAAAAACAGACAAAAGAAGAGATTTAAAGAAACTCTTATGAGAACAGAAGTATGGGAGAAGAAAATAAGAACATGAGAACTTATTGGAGGTATGGTATATTTCAAAGAGTGATGGTATTGAGTCATTTCACCAACAGTCTCAGACTATTTGTTCGTAGCATCCCAAAGACCCCCACCCCTAACTAAGGGGTCTACACCTCCCTCCCTATGTAGTTGGCTTTAAACCAACTCTTAAAGACTTCATGGATTGATGTCATATTTTGATTTCACCATTGCTAACTCTTTTCCAATCTAGTGATGATGGCTATACAGACGTAGCACGTGTCCTCCTAGCCATCTCTCAATCGATGTAGTTTTAACGACTTCATCGATTGATTTTCCTCTACGCCTAACCTCAAATATATATATTACTCATCATACGAAAGCGTTTAACATGGGAAACGGAATGCAAAGATATGTGATCAAAGGCAGTTAGTCTTTTCATAGTCTTCCACGTTCAATAGTCATATCTCACAGGCGTTAAGAAAAACCGAGTGAACTGTTGTGCAGTTCTGTCTCCCTGTGCAATGGCAAAACATGGCTATCATAATTAAGAAATATAGGGAAGGTATATTAGTCCACATCACTGCCTCCGTAATGCTGTCCATGGGGAACTGTCATGTGGGTAATGTACAGGTTAAGGAATGGAAGCTGAGGAATTTATGAGTTCTCAAAGGCATAGTTGGTTAGGTTAGTTTTACATAAGTCTGTTAATCAGAATCTGTGTTTCGACTTTGGGCGGTATACTTACTTTACTTTACTTCGGCTATCTCCTACGGGAGGATGAGCCGGCCTCATGAACAGAGTTCATGAAATTTCATGGGAATTTGGTACGAGTGATGTCCCCAGAATCGCTCGGCCTCTTGTTTGAGAGTGCAGCTCTAGCCTTTACACAATCAAGTGTGACCTACAAGGCAGTAGGAGTGGAGTAGGGAGTCCACTATCCATTGGCAGCCGGTGACCGGAGTTCGGTTCATACGCCTTTTGAATGGGGCCAGACATCAAGGACATCCAACAAGCCCTTTGTCCATACGTCTGCCGATGAGCTCCAGTGAGCTTCATACGCCAGTCGTTGGAGGTTTGGAATCAGGGTTTAGCCATCTCCCCTAGACTGTCATCCAATGGACAGTCAACCCGGTGAAGAGCGCCAGGCATTCGCTTTCGCCCTCTCACTTCGGTGAAAAACACCTCCGCCACGTGAAGGCAGTGAGTAGGACTTCCTCAGGAGAGGCTATGTAAGACGCCCGTCGTATGGGAGCATTTCAAGAGGTGTGCGGAGGGGTGGCCAACCCGCAGCGCACGGCACCCACCCCCGACCATCCTGAGGCTTTGGGTGGTATAGCTCATATATGATCCTAGCAGTGCAGATGCATTCATACCTTATCGTCAAATCATCCTACAAAATTCAGTGTCGTTATATATAATCTTTAGTTATGTATATATATATATATATATAATCTTCAGCTAGATGTGTAGATATGATATGTGAAAAAGTACAACAGAACGGAATATAACTCAACAACCAATCGCAATTCCAAGCAGTTGGCAATGAGTCACAATATTTTGTGTAAGTTAGGTGGAGTGGGGTTCGAACCCATGACGCATGACTAGTTTGAAGTCGAGCTCTTAGACCAGTAAGCAACAGCTACATTGCGAAGAATTAAAACAATAGGTAGTATTTCAAGTTTAACCAAGGATTGATATCACACAGTTAGAGAACCATTGAAAACCACTAGGGAGTACTGAACATTTGCTATTGGGTGGTGGTCATAGCGCTAAAATCACACATTGGTAGAAGTTTGAATTCATGGACTGACCACTGAATCGGGTTGAATGGTCTACGAGCCTGCTAGCCTTGTAACCGGCAGGTGCTGGCTTCAAACACTGGCGGTAGGTGCGTACTGATGATGAGTCCTAAACCGGGCTGACGAAACACAGCTGGCTGTCCAGTACTCCCTGCTGGTTCTCAGCAGTGATCGTTCTCTAACTGATATCAAATCCATGATTAAATTTGAAACAAATGAAAAAAGAGTACCCTCATGGAATTCAAAATATATAGTGCACAGATAAAAATACGTGCGTAGGTGGGGCGTTGTGTTCACCACCTAATTAAACCAAATACACGTAGCTTAATCAATAAAAAAGAAAAATGTGCCAGTTTTTCTGTCAACATTATCAGTGGCAATAATAATAGTAACTAAAATCTACTCTCAGAGGTCAGTAGTCATTTGGAAATTAGCATTCCATAAGAGTTAAAAAAATGCATACACTGCCAAAGTTGGTGCGAGTTAGCACACTTGCAGATATTATTTGGTTTACACACACACCCACACGCATAACATTCTTAGATTAATCATACGTGGCATGTTTTGAATAACTAGTCGTCTACTGGTGACAGACAACAGACTGTACTTATCAGAAATATATTCCAGAAAAGTTAATTTTTGAAATGAAGATTTAGATATCAACGAATAGCTAATTGACTATCTATTTGGATTTCGATAAAACAATAAGACATCAAATAAAAGCATAATTTTCGATAAAGAAAGGAAGACGAAATTTGCAGTATAAAATGATATCGTCATTCTATTTCACAGGTTCTCATCAGCTGTCGTAGACTACCTGAAATTACAATGATTATATAAATGATAATAACATACTTTAATGTTTGAGTAGTAGTAGAGAAGACATAAAATTGACGCATCCAAAAAAGAATGAAAGTATTACAATTTTTAGTTTAAGTTATCATCATCAAGTACATTGGAAGGACAGAAAGAAGGGCTTCTATCCGGTTTTCTGAACATATTCCAAGAAACCTATGCCTGAAAGGAAGCAAATATTCTCAGAGTGCAATTACCAGACATATTGTTGATACCGGACATCTCGTAGAGATTTCTAAGTCCTTCAAAATACTAAATAGACAAAGGACAGCCAATTTACTACGATTTGCCGAAGCGATCGCAATCAAACGATTCAAACCAACCAGACTTATGCATACAGAAAGAGAGTGTGATTAACCTCTCACTGCCTTGGTAACTGAATTTTGATTTTGATTACATCAATTAGTCATGTAATTCAGTGATCTCAACTCACTGAGCAAATCTCAATCTTATAAACTGTAAATGCTTTTGTTTTTTGGAGTTGCCATGTGAACCTACAAGCTAACAGTGTTTCTGTTAATCAATTTTTCTGTTTTCTGTCTTACCCCTCCCCCCTCTTTTCAATTTTGAAAGTGTATAAATTGATGATGATAACTTAAACTAAAAATTGTAATACTTTCATTCTTTTTTGGATGCGTCAATTTTATCTCTTCTCTACTACTACTCAAACATTAAAGTATGTTATTATCATTTATATAACCATTGTAATTTCAGGTAGTCTGCAGCTGATGAGAACCTGTGAAATAGAATATCATTTTATACTGCAAATTTCGTCTTCCTTTCTTTATCGAAATTTAACAAGGGAACCAGTTGTAAAAAGCATAATTATATTTCAATAGTTTACACACACAATGATAAGTTTTGTCATTGGTAATATTTCGAGCAAAATTACTGCCCGTGTTCACACACCAACTGTTGGAATTGTTTTATTCACACATTTATGATTTGTACTCATATATATATATATATATATATATAGTTCATTATTTTTGTTCATTTATGTTTTTGTATTCAGATTTATATTCCAAGTTGTTGATAGTTGTACTGAGTCACCCTTGTTACATGTATCCGGTGTGACCTTAATGTGAATACAGATTCTGTTATAAGTCTTTCTTTCCATTTGTTCATGTTAGTTTTTAGAATACACACATTGTTCCAATCGATATTTGTCCCATGCATGTGCAGCTATAGATGAATTTTTTTAAAGATTCTTGTAAGCTTGTGTTCCTGTTGGTTGACCTTTGGTTAGGCGTTTATGTTCATTCACTCTTATTTCGAATGATCTGGACGTTTGACCCACATATTTAGTCGGACAGTCAGCACAAGATATTTTGTAAATTAAGTTGTTTTTATCCATCATTTTTATGGGACCTTTCAGTTGGTTTATTTTATTTTTGATTAGATTCGTCGGTTTAAAAGTTGTGTGAATGCCGATACTTTTGAGGTTTCTTTGAATTGCCTCTGATGTGCCATTGTTATATGGTATTGTGACTGTTTTTTGCATTCTTCCATCTTGTTATTCTCCGGTTTTACCCTCTTTTTTCTTTTTTATATTATCTTTTATAAATTCTTTTGGGTAGTTGTTTTCGAGTAGCATCTTGAATAGGACATTTATTTCTTTACAGTGGTCCTCTGGTGTTGTTTTAAGTCTACGTATTCTATCTGCAAGACCTTGTATTAATCCTCGTTTTACCGTGAGTGGATGAGCTGAGTGATAATCAAGGAATCTTCCAGAGTGTGCGGTTTTCCTATATAGCGTCGTTTTAATGCTACCATCTGTTATTCTCTGTATTTTGCAGTCTAACATAGGCAGTTCCCCAATTTCATTCTCTACTTCCATAGTGAATTTTATTGAGTCGACATGGCTGTTTATGTGTGAAAAGAGTTTCTGAATATCGTTTTTTTCACTATTACTAGTGTGTCGTCTACATATCTCCACCGACATATTAGTGATGACCTGAATGGTTTAAGGGCATTCTTTTCCCAATAATCCATGAATATGTCAGCTATTATTGGTGAGATAGGAGATCTCATGGCTATTCCTTCATTTTGTTGGTATTTTTCCCTTCGAATGTGAAATATGTTGTTGTCAGACAGAATTCCACCCCTTTTATTATCTCTTCTACGGATAACTGTGTTCTGTCTTTTAGGCCATTATCTTCTTTTAATTTCTCTTTCAGTGCATTCATGGCCATTTGACTGGGTATTTTCGTATAGAGACTGTTTACATCAAAGCTGACTAGTATTTCATCTTCCTCTACTTTAGTGGTTTTTAGTCGCTTCACCAATAACAAAACTTATCATAGTGTGTAAACTATTGAAATATAATTATACTTTATTTCATCTAATCCACAATGCTCGAACTTTTTACTGATAGTAAATAAGACATAATTTATCTGAACACACACTTACTTACCATAGGAATATATGTGAAAATAACGAGGCGTTAAGGCGTGAGAGAATAGACGTGGGTCAGGTTAAAAGGTTATGGAATGACGACCAAAATAACCATGGAGATCAATATGGTAAAGACGGGAGATAATATTACATCTCCACTGGTATCAAAACAAAGTTTACCAGGGAAGGGGTTTAGTGTAATGACAAATTGCTTTTAAACACATAAATGCAGCTTAAACTTCCCACTCGTCATAGCTGCCACAAACTTTACGACACGTTTTGAAGATAGGCTTTTAACAAAGGCGCAAACATCAATTTTGGTCCCTGTAGTTGTAATGTGCTACAATAAAAGAGATGGGTTGTCTGTTTTCACAGGGGATTCAATTTGCTTTTGAAAGTACTTAGCGATATGCTGTGAAGCAGTTAATTACAGAAATAGATGAGTCCTCCCTAGGCATGCTTAACCAACCCTTAACGCTTTATCACTTTTCATAAAAATTCATATAGCAAGTATGTCTGCCATCAGATTTTTCGAAATGTGTTGCGTAAATACGTTACACAAATGAGATAATTTTGTGGTGAGAGCTGGCTGCAAGCCAAAATTGTAGACAACAATTTACGTCAATGTTCACGTCCTGAATCAGAGTCATGAGAAAAACAGAAATATTTATTTTTGAAGTAAATAATGCAGCAAATTGATTGCACCTAAGTTCTCCTTAGTGTGATTGACACAGTAGTTTACAAGGAGATATTACACATTTAATGTAGAGAGATACAGACTGCATGGATGGGCTCTTAGAAACACTATACGCCAATGACTAGGAACTGTCTGTCTGTCTGTTTTCAACATAGAACTTTGCACATATGTGCAACAGTTCAAGTCGCTACACTCCCTCCATGTAGCACACAAAGCAAGAGAAGAAAGTAGAAGAAATGCAAAGTATAGACAGTAGACAGGGATATGAGACAAAAGGAATAGTAATAACGAAGAACAATATAGTTTCATTGGGTATTATAAGTCACAAGAAGTGGATGCATCTGCACCAGCCATTGAGAACGATTTTGAGCCATATCACCGATAACTGTCTCCAGCCTTTATTGGTTTTTACCGTCCCAAAGACTGACTAGGAACTGTTGACGAAATGGATAAAAACAGCTCTCGATAGCGCATATACATTTGTGACCTCTGTGATCTCTCATTATTTTCCATGTAATTTTCCCTTCTCCCGTACATTTTCTTTTATTATAGTACCTTCACGTACGTCGGTGGTTCAGTGGCAAGGCGATTGCCAACCATGCATGTGGTCCACGGTTCGATCCTCGGCCGATGCACTCCCAAACCTCGCTAAACCGGTAGTAAAGCCAGTAAAGAGGACGGGTTGAGCCTAAGGCTAGTAACACTACTCCGTAAAAACAAAACGACTGCTACTCAAACTTTAAAGCTCTAGCTTTACGTTTCACGTTGAATAGTTTCCACGTATTTGTAGTGTGTAGATGAGGACGCTTATGGTACCACTATGTACAGAATTTACACGAGAGTCATAATGGCTTCCCCCTACTTTTCAAATATATATCACACTATGGTGAGTAATATTGAAGTTAGGTGCACAATGAGCTTTTGAAGCTACACCTGGTTGAGATGACTGGGTCACGTGTTGCCTGCCTTCTTCGACCAGTAATATTAGCTGATATACGATTGGGTTGGAAAATAGTTAGGGGTGATAAAATCAAAATTTTAGTATCTATCTATGAAGTCTTTGACTGTTGGTTCGAACCCATGCAGCCAAGTGAGAGGTAACGGCGAGTTGTCATCTGAACTGGTGACAACTAGTGGTGTCCGACATGGATGCCCAATGTTCCCATTTCTATTCAATTTTATCATGTACTAATGGAATTAACCTTAACTCACTTCAGAGACTCAGGGATTGACTTGCTGTCAGGGAATAATTTCGTTGACTTACAATATGCAGATGATATAGTCCTCCAGCGTAGGTGAAGACGCTGGCAAAATAGAGCAGAGTCTTCTGAACACCTTGAAGAGAAGCGAGCAATCTGCGAATGTTTGGCATGCGATTCGCTCCCTTTGCAAAATATAAGGTGATGCTACAGGACTCGACTGGACTACATTGACTACATTGACAATGTTGAAATAATCCAGAAAAACTTCAGAAATCACAAAGAACGTTTGATATCAGAAGCACTTCATATCAAGTGGAATCAAAATTGCCTGAATAGGAATGATGGACTAAAACAGAATCTGACCTGGTTACAACACCTCCCTCCCCCCCCATCAAGTGACAAAACCAACACGAATGTGATAAGCACTTTCATTATGTAAACACACGCTGCTTTTATAATCTCATACACTTATCAAATCCAACAATCTACACATGATGATTTGTTATCTTTACCAATTCACCAACTTAACAACTAAAAATGTCCCAGACAGACGAACGATGATCAAGTTAGTAAAATTTTCTTTCTTTTTTCGATATCATAACAGACATACTATTACCTTTGTTATTTGGTATAGTTATCTTCATCGCTATTTTTACTTTCAATATGTCCCTTTAACTTGACCTATGTCTATTTTCTCACCCCCTAACTGTTTGTTATATATATGCTGAGATTTTGTAAATTCCGGTTTAATAATACTTTGATAAAGCTATTAGCATTAAATAGCGAAACGTCAGTAAAAACAATATCGTTTTGTTTTTCATTCATTGGGAAATACAAAAACCTTTATTATAATGTACATTGACTCCTAACTTAAAGACAGGGGAGTGAAGTGGTTGGTGAACACAACCACATCAAAATCATCCACCTGAGCTACAAATCTTCTCCATCATATCTAAATCTTGGTGAAGTGTGTTGACCACTTCACTCATTTATTTGGGGAGTTGCATCAGTCAACGCCAACGGGTTGGTCACTGACGAAATCTCAGCATCGATACAGAGGGCTTAACTGGTATACGCCAACTTACTCCATCTCTGGCGTAGACGTGATATCCGGCTGGCTGTCGACCAAAGGGAGTGTGTACTGCTCAGCAGTTTGCTCCGTCCTCCTTTTTGGCTGCAATACATGGCCATTGTAAATGGAAGACACGAAAAGACTAGCTGTCTTTGATAATAGGTGCCTGCGTATAATAGGGTCAGCAATATTGACGCTAAGCGTCGAGTGCTAGGTAAGGAGGGGAAATCAAGAGACGAGGCTGTGAAGTAACACCGATTGAGAAAGATGGTTAGGACATGTGTTACGCATCGCCATCGCCTTCCTCAACGGGCAATGTTAGCTGACATAGAATGGATCGGGTTGGAAAAGAACCAGTGGTGGTCAAACAAAAACATGGATTCATCAGTCAATGAAATCCACAAGAGTTAATTTAAGCCACGTAAGGAGGTGTAGACCGCCAGGCTGATTGGGGTCCTCAGGATGGTAAAACCCAATAAAGACTCCAGATAATTGGTGGTATGGCTCGAAATCGTTCTCAATGGCTGGTGCAAATGCATCCACTCCTTGTGACTTATAATACCCAATGAAACTATATTGTTCTTTGATATTACTATAATTAAAAAATAATTAAAATCTAATGAATAAACACTATTTTAGTGGAGAATCAGCTGAAAGTAGTACTAATTACTTGTTAAAGCAAAAACAAAATAACCTACAGATTCGACAAATGTCTGATAAGGCGATACAGCATCTTGTCTAGCTTGATCCTTGACTTGTCCACTAAATGAAGTGGATGATGTTGACATTAGATTTACAACAGAACAAAGAGAATTAGAACCATCAGGACTGTCGAGGGTTTGTAAAGACATACCGGAAAATGACGTAGAACCCTGATTGATATAGCTTGTTACAAAGGTGCTTGGTTCATGTGAATAAGAATGACTGGATAGAACTTGATCAGTTGAACAGACATCAGAGTTTGGGCTGTTTTTAACACACGCAGTCGTATTATCATCACCAGCTTCAGGAAGTTTCTTATTTCTAAAGTTATTACAACCAACAAGAACAACAACAAAAAGAAACAATAAATGAAATTACTACTTACAGAAAATCATAAAATACAATTTAGAATGATATGCAAATAACACATAAGTTAAGCAAGGTTAGCTTAACACTTTTGTAGGAAGTCTTAAGGTGATCTACCAGTAAAAGAACGACACAGAAGTCTGAATGTATGCATCAATTTTTATGTTAAACCTATTAACTCTGACATCTTTAGATGTCAAAGTAGTCGAACAAGTAGTTACCCAACATCCGCAAAAGTATGAGTGTTGAAAACACTACAGATTACACTTTGTCATGATGGAAATAAAAGACCAGAACTTTCCGGTGATTATCAGCCTTACCGTTGAACCCATGTGATTTCAATGATTAGGCAGTGTTATATGAATTGATAGGAATCTACTTATACATCCAATATGACATGCAATATACACTTCAAATGGGTGATACGCAAGGGTTGAATATTAAAAACTGAAAGAGGTTCAATTAACGCTATTTACTGACGAATTATTGATGAAAACATTCAGTAAATGTAAAGAATTCTTCTTCAAAGATTTCCACTGCGATTCATTATCTCAATACTTACAAAACCACATTGAGAAAAGAATTCCATATCTTCCAAGGAAAATATTTGCAAGGACTTTATTAAAATGTCTGCAATTGATAAGGGTCCTCCTGAATGAAATTTAGAGAATGAGTAGTATAAAAGTAGGAGTAGGCATGTAAAAACAGATTTCAAAGTTTGGTTGGAAACATGTCAACTGTACTTATATTAATAGGTGTACTTCTGAATCTAAAATCTTATCTCTGTCTATTGTCCAAGCGAAATAAACAAACATAATAATAATAAAGGTACCACTTAACAGTCCACTTTGCAGGACTCATCGAGACATTTTATTAAAAAAAGGTAATATCTCCGAAGATGCTAAAATGTCACAGTGAAAGGGGATATGACCAATGAAAGAGGGGTAAGGTGCAAGTACATAAATGCTACATACTTAACTCAGCATAAAGCATTTTGGAGTTGTCATGTAGGAAATTGATTGGTTGTCCTTTACACCTTGACGTTGGCACGATTCATACCAGCATGTCATGTTTTTGCCACCTACGCCTTTTTCAGCCTAATTATAAATTAGCTAACAATACGTGTTAGTGTGAGGTAGATAGACAAAAGCAATGTGTGTCAAGTACCTCTATCAACATTAGTACAACCATACTAACTGAAACGCTTCTTTAACGCAAAATTATGTTGTCTTTGCGTAGCTTACACAATGGCCCTACCAAAAGTCAACAACGCTATGGAAACATAAAGAAGTTGACTTATTAAACTCGATAGAGTAACTTTACATTTTTAGGCAAAAAACGCATCCTGGACACTTGGAACAAGAACTACCTCTTAACGAGCATAATCAAAGATACGTCTTACACTAAAGAATTGTTTGTAAATCGAAAGAATATTATGGACTTCCAAGTCTCTTTGCAGCAACCATACGAAATACCTGAAGATAACAAGCTAGGTTTCAAGTAAAGTTAGGTGGTGAATGAAATATTCTCTCTAAAATACTAATTAATTTGTAATTAAGACTATCGATCTTAGGTGCAGTGACCACAACAAAAAGTACATATTTAACTACCCTGATGCATTTTCCCCATCACAAGATATGACTTTCTTCTCACACTCAGTAGGCTGTTCCATGCCACCATTAAGACACTGGTTATCCAGTTTATTGGTTATTGCTTCTTGATCAGACGGAAGGGATCTTCTCTTTGGTGACGACTCAATTGAATCACCACATGAGCAGTTAGAAGACGATCGAGATATCTGTGATTCGGATGGCAATCCATCTGGCAGAGAGACAGGGATGTGTTTAGTACTTGAGTGGTTGTTAACATGGGGTAATATTGTTTTATTATGAGTATAGCGATGACAACTTGGAAGTCTTCGTACCGAAGAAAATGGATACTGACGAATATATTGAGGCTGGCAAAAACTGGATGCCCAATCAGAATTACCCGACTGTATGTACGGCGGCGGGGGTCCAAGCAGCGCATGTGGTAATGTTTGCATATAACCAAAAGGCTTGCTTGAATCTGTAGTACTGTTGCTAGTTTTCCCATATGCTAACAAAGGCATAACATTGTGCTGAGGATTGGTAAAAGTCATGGACTGAGATTTTGATGACAAATACGTGTTAAGCATTAAGTGGCTGTGAGCAGCTTGTACTTCTGACAAAGCGGCATCTCCAAGCTGTTGTCCAGATCCAAAATTGAAAGTAACACTGCCACCAGGACCGTTGGAGTACCAGAATGCGGGATGTATAAGCTTTTGCTGATATCTATATTCCATAGAAGTACAGTCTTCGGACAAACCCTGCCATTAATGACAAGGTTATTTTGTACGCTTTTTAAAAATCAGGTGTCTTACATAACAAATACTATGATCAGAAAAACATTAACATTTCCGTTCACTTTTGTCAGCAATGATGCCCATGCAAACGTTTGAACGACCTTGGAATCCAAGCAGTCGTACAGCTTCAAATGTATCCAATGTCCAATTTCTTTTTATTGAGCTTGTCTGAAGCTGCTGATTTCCTCAAGATCACATTTCCAAGTTTCTGAACAGTTGAAAATTTTAAACGGACTACAAGGTGGAATAAATTTATGTCAGCTGGCCATTTCACTGTAACACATTCTAGGTCGTCTAGGTGTTTGGTCACAACAGGCTGTTTGTTTAAACTAGGAATAAATCCTTGTGACACCCCTGTGTATGTACGTGATTAAGCTTAGTAAAAATTCCCTACTTGCAGGACAGAAAGAGCGATCGGCTATCAATCCCCGTTTTGGAAACTGAAATTATCAGCATGCTCAAGGACACTGGGGGAGTTAGACAGCTGAAGGGCACTTTCGTCCATGTTAGCCGGCCATGTTAAAATGACCATTCCTTAACTGCTCGTTCACACATTGGCTTTTACATTTATCCTGCAGATATTCACAACTTATCTTGATGCACATAAGGTGACTCTAAACTAATCAGCTCAAACCGCAACTACCTAGCGAACGGACAAATGACTTTCAGATTCAGATTTATTGGTTGAGGATAGAAAGCTTGGAGCCTATAATAATCCTTTTCTAGCGGATTTCTGTGGTTTTTCAAATGAATGAATCAGTTGAGGTTGCAGATATCACTTCTTCTAGGAGTCGGTTTCAAGAGTTTATGACTCGGTGTGAGAACCATTACTCAACAGCAATATGATTTCTTCTTGGCTTTGAGCTCTCCTGCTGTGTCCTTTAAGGTGCTCCGACCTGGCGGGAAGAGAAAGAGAGAATAGGTCAGGTCCATATCCATTATTTAAAATTTTAAACATTGTGATTAAATCTCCTATCTGCCCACGTTATGACAGGGAGAAGAACAGATTTAAAGTGTCTAGTCTTTTAAAGTCTAATAATATTTCAATAGTTTACACACAATGATAAATTTTGTTATTGGCCTAGTCTTTCCTCGTATGATAGGTTAGTCATGCCGAGAACCATACGTGTTGCCTTCCTTTGAACCCTTTCTAGAATGTGAGTCCCCTTTAAGACAGGAACTGGCTGCCTGGATCCAGTTTTCTAGTCTTCACCTCACCAGAGATTTGTATATCTCTGGCGATTCTAGTAAAGCCTCTGCGAATTGCCCATAAGAATCTGAAACTACGTACAGCCACCGCGCGACAGGGTGCTATAGTTTTTAAATCGTGACTATGACACCTAAATCAAAATGATGGGAGTGTTATTCCCTCTAATTCGTAGGAGCTGATGCTTGCTTGTCCGATGCGGATGGTTGCACATTTTGCTACATTGCCCGGGAGCATCCATTCTATGGACCTCTCTGACAATTTGTTAAGGTCCTCTTGCCCTTTAGCTCTCTCCATATCATCAAGTCATCTGCTTTTGCAACCTACACTTGGTACCAAAACTTTCCAACTTCATGAGTAGTTTTTGTAAGAAACTTTATCAGAGTCTTTGCTGAAGTCTATGAAGACGACGTCAACGGTTCTTCTGCCGTCCCTTGATTTCACCCAGCTTTCTCCTCCAGTGAGGAGATTTGATAGGCATGAGACATTTCTTCGGAAGCTGTGCTGTGCTCTGGATAACATTTTGTTGCTTTCCAGATATGCGATGATGCTTTTCTTGATGATTCTTTCTTGATTAAAGTGCTGGTGAGACGAATAGGCATGTAATTTTTAGGGATTTGTCTTGATCCTCCTTTGCGGATGGCGGTTACTATGACACCTTTCCAGTCACGTGGTAACACTCCATTTAGGAGAGACAGCTTGAAGATCGTGGTCAAAGGGCTGTCTATGTGAGCTGGTAGCTCCTTGAGAAACCTTGGATGAAGATCAGCAGGACCCATTGATTTCCTTGCATCTACTTTGACTAGGCAGTTGGGCTCGATTTCTTGGCTGATGTCGACGGAATCCATCCCGTATTCCTCTGATGCAGCCAGAGCTGATCTTATAGGGGTGATGACTCCTGTGTAAGGACTTGAGGGAAGTCGTGTACCATTGCTTCTGCTTTTCCTTGATCTTCTTCGATTGTGTCATTGCCAGTAGTCAGGTTTGGACAGCTTTGGATGTTTTATTTCTGAAGTTCATGTAGATTACCAGCAGATTTGTGTCATATATTCTGTCAAAGTTTGTATGTGTGTCGCACTTTGAAGGCCCAGAGTGTCTGGTGACTGAGCCCTGAGTGTTTCCACATGCGTTTTACTTGGTGGTGCTGCTACGCCAGCTATTGGTAATGGCCTTGGTGTGACTTGATATATTGCCCTTGGAGAGTTTGGTCTTGTTTCTAATATTTATGTGGTTGTTAGTATAATCTTGTGTCTTATTTCCTTTCCAGCAAGGATTCTTCTTGCAAAATATTAGTGAATGTATTGGAATTTTGGTTATGGGTGGCAAATTTGGCATTCTTTGCTACCGGATTCCTCTTTAACTCTCACTCTGTGGCAATGAGAGGATGTTATAGATTCAGGAGAGATATTGGTTTCTGTCTTAGGGATATCCAGAGATATGTTTAAATCCACAATAGGGGGTGTTGGGCTACATTTAGAAAGGGACTATAATCCACTAGCCTTTCGGCTGATGTCGTGTTCTGTGGAGCTAGTTTTGTGAGGTTTTAGAGGGTGAGACCATGTATTCTACCATTTTTGTCGTGGGTTTACCTATTTTGGGGACTTGCAGTTTCTTGTCCTTCTTACACTTAGGCTTAATGAGGTGAATGTAAGCGTGCCTTTCAACCACTGTCTTATCCACTACAACTTTTATTTGTTTGTGGCTCGTATCCTGTAATTGGATACGTTGTGAGTTGCTGAATAGCCTAGTCTCTGTCTGTGTTTTAAAATGAAGGCGCACAGGGCAGCAGTGGTTGTGCTGACTCTCTTTCAGTTTGTGGAGCTTTGTTTGGAAGTTGGGTATTTTCTCCGCCCCAAGTAAGATGCCTTAAATCTTTTTAACCCCTCATTATCTTGTATATTGTAGGCTATAATACTTAGTTTTGTTTCTAGTCTTTTGATGACCAATGTCGTGATGAAGTTTATCATGATGTCTACCTTGGTTACTGATTCTGTGTCAAGTTCGCCAGGGTTTGTGGTCCTGATCAGGATGTTAAGAGGTGCAAGTTCGCAGACCAGCAATTTTTTGTCACTAATCTGTGTTGATAGTTGATATGCTGGCCAAATTTTCTGAACATTCTGCACTCATAGCCTTACTACACCTTATTTCCTGTATCTCAGTCTTCAGCTGTTTTACTAACAGTTTTGGTCATTCTATTTCTGAAGTACTGGGGCTGAGATTGGTGTCTGGAGTTTGGTGACATGTAAGTAAGTTGTAGGGAAGAGGTCTATGCCAGGAATAGGTGCTGAGCTTGTATAAGTGATGTTACTACCAGAAGTCAGCATATTTTTGCTGTCAGTTACAGCCACGATAGATAGTACTGGCATGGTAGCTTGGCACTTGCGGCATATTGGCCAGCTGTGCGATTCACTGCCGTATGTTACGGTAGCTGTGTTGCTTGTTGTGTGGCTTTTTTATTTGATTAACCATAACTAATTAGTGAAAGCTCTGATGATTACAAGTATGGAAGTAGAGAAACATTTCTGCGAGTCTCAAAACAGAAACAGATTATATATAACTAACCATGCTTAAACATAACGCAAAAGTTGAACGACCCACGTAACATTATTATAATCAACCTGTACTAATTCGAATAATTACCACATAAAATTTGGCTTTCGTTCGACTATTAATTATTGTCATTAACACTACTACCATTATTTTTACCAGATCTCTGAGATATTCTATAAGATATGCAGGTATGTATCTGTGTTAATGTTTACCAGTGAACCTATAAGACTGTATACAAACCTGCTGTCAAGATAACACTTCAGTTCTGTTTCTCTTGACAAACCTGTCCTCATCATCAACCTCACCTGAACATCTTGTCGATCTTTTGAATTGTGGAGAAAATAACAAACTCAGTAAACATACATCTCTCCGGCAGTTACACCTAAAAAGCTGTACAGTGGCATCTTTACACGTAAGTTCACATAGTTATAACTGGTATTATTTAACTCAGATTGGTATCGAAAGTAGATTAGAGGTGATAATGAGTTCCAATTTGACATGAAGATTTCAGGGAGTGAATACAAACTACAAAGGGAATTGAGACAAAATTACATAGCATTAGAAGATAGTTGCGTAAAGTGTAAAATGGTTAGTTACCAACAGACTGGTGTGGGCGGGATTTGTGTAGAAGCACATTGAAATATAAGCTTTCTTAACTTAAGATGAAAAATAAACTGAGGAACACTGTGTAGTGAAACAGAACTAAACCTCTGGTAAATGCAGACGTTTGACTGGCTTCTTTTGAACACATAACTTCGGTTTATCTACGCATGTGATGACGGATTCTGTAGTACAAGGAGGGCGAAAACACACTGTCTTTGGTAAACTATCGTTCTCTTTCGACATGACTATAAATAACGAGTCAGCTGAGATGCCATGACAGCTGCTAACAAGATGTCCAATTATAGCGGCTCTGACTGAACCGGTGTCACCTCTATGCGACCATTATGGCTAGTGTCCTCTAAAACATTTCTGAAAGGCGCGCATAAAATGATCTGCGTACCTTTGTTTTTGAAAAATCCAACAAATTGAATGATGTGACGAAGTGTTTTTACTAGTTACACGCAGGGATCACGTATCTGCGGTTTAGGTGCCAGTATTATTGGTGAAAAATAGTGAATCCGGCAACAGCGAATAGACACAAACTTCAGACGACCCTGAAATAGCCAATCAGATTCTTCCATGTGAAAAGTGGTACTTAATATATAAAAAAGGGTACCTATGATAAATATGTAATAAAAATGAATCTCACAGGCTGCACACCTCTAATATGCTGCAGAAACTGGCCTCGGTTTCTCACAGAAGACGTAATAGACATATCAAACCGATGTATTCTCTATTTATGCAGCTCTAGCAGATACTACTCGCATTTACG